GAGCTACAAACATCACAAGAACAGAACTCTTGGAGGTATGACAATAATATTTTATCGAGTGGCAGACAACGTGTCTTAGTGGTTTTACTCTACTAAAGCTTGAGTTTGATAGTTTTTGTGATTTGACCAACGAAAATCTGTTGGTATCAGCTGTCAAACTACTTCCCCATTTTATTTCGTGGTTTGAGAGCTTCAGGATGCTCGGATGTTTTTAGGATATGTAGAAATAACAGAAAGCACTTTTTTAAAGACTGTCCTAAAATTGGCTTGATTTTATTCTGACTGGTAAACCTTTCAGAAACGACCAGCAGCCTTACCAACAATTTGAACAATTCAACGTTTGCACGTAAAACAAAGAAAAGGGTGAACATAATAATACCTTTCCATAGATGGTCGTTACTAACGACGGAGCGGCGTCTGCATTTTTTGTTCTTTCTCGATGAAAAAAGTTGATAATCAAAATTACTTCGAGGTTTTGCAGTTCTGGTGGAACGATCTGTGATTTCTGAAAACAAGAAATAATCCGTCAATAATAAATAAAAACAAGATTAGTTGCGATGAAATTTCAGGACATATTGTGAAAAAAGAATTCTTACCTTTTTTGTTGGTGGAAGCAATTTTGAATCCATTGCGAGGATAGTAGATCCTGATCACAATGATCGTGGTAGCCGCTCCAACGACAGTAGCGATACATGTGTAAATATTGAATAAATAGTATACTATGATCTCAGGGATCATTTTATCGTTTCGTTCGCTTCATCTTTAATTGATGAAATGACTTTAGTGACGTCAATGTCATTATGATGTCATCTACGATGCGTTACGTCATGATACTTTGCGCGCGCTATGGTTTGTGTGCCCTAGCGGCTCAACAGTTAACCCAGTGTAGCAGTGTGACAAAATTTAGGAATTGAAGAGGTTATAAAACGAAACTAGTTTTCCTAAAAGTCCTGGTGTTTTGTTGCGTAAAAATCAGTAATTTGAGTTTAAACTCTTACACATAATGAAGCAGTGTGACAGGGCCACACATGCCTAACAAATGCCTAGATCGCTGCCTAGGACGTCTACTTCCAAAAGGACACGCTACTCTCCGCCGCTGTTGTTAAAGTTCTTCCTGTGTCATATGGGACATGCTAAGATAAATATTGACACTGTGTATAAGACGTGGTAAACGTATAAAGTACACCCCTATTCAAGACAACTGAAGGTCAATTGTATACCCTATTCAAGACACGAAGGGCGAAAACTATACCCTATWTGGCGGAACGTCCCCATACASAAAATATAGGGKAATACCCCCCGTGGTGATTATTAATGAAAAACCGACGATATAAACCAGACAGTCTTGTAAAAAGATAAATTTAACACCGTCGACAGTAWGTTGTTTCACTGCTTTTTTACGGTGTTAATTAAATCTTTTTACAAAACTGTTTCTTTAGAAACACCGACGCAGCTCACACTGGTTTACTGCTAGTTTCCACCATTTTAATATAAACCAGATTCCTAWGCATTTACAGTAATTTTAAAATGATTCATGGATTCTTTAACTAAATCAGCAGTTTGCTTGTTGAAGACATCACGTTCAWAYGACTCTCGATTAACAATGTCAACAATCTGGACATGCGCAAGTTGTTCATTCATTGTTCTGACAAACCCRAAGAACTTCTCTTCATACAAACACTTCATATCGATGACCTCAAGCAAATCCTCTTGCGGTTGACATGTGACTAGAAGGTCATGTGCCTTCATCAGTGACGTTAGAATGTCCTGGTCAAATCCAATGTATCCTTTGCACACAATAAATCGGTTTGGACAACACAGGGAACCCACCACAGGCTTGATAACCGCRATGCATTTAAATAAGCAGTGTAGAATGTACAGAACACCCACGGTAAAGCGAGTTAGGGAGGTGTAAAGCTGACATACAAATGTCCCCCCCGGATTTAAGACTTTGAGTGTACTAATGCATGTATTTAGAAGAGTCCTCTTTATCTTCAGTTCAAGGGTTTGGCTAATACAGTATTCAGGGGGGACACTATCTAATAATGGTACAATTACTAGATCTACTGCTTGACTTTGAAGGTGAGAGCTTTGAAGCTGGACCCCCTGCGATTGAAGATAATTGTCAATACAATGGCATGGTAACGGTATCCCTAGCAACAAYGATGTRTCTCCTTTTCTTTCAGTAAACTTGACAAGATGATCCAAGATAATAATAGAGYAATAGTTACAATGCGGACAAGCATCTGCTGGTGTTTGCTGGGACATTTCCTTCCATTCCTTACCAGCTGTGATTGATGTATTTGCGATTGCTGTGTTCAGCTTGGTGATGTAATACGATGAGCAGAAACGAGAATTTAAGATATTGCTGATCATTTTACCCTTTGCAAAGTAAAAATTAATTTTGTTTTCGCTGTTTACTTCTAACCACTCTACGTCTTCTGGAAACAATGAGATAAACTGCATTCCATTTTTTGCCAAACGCATTTCTGAAATGAAACACAATACAAAATATATCATTGTGCATTTGTCTTTTCATTYGCATACAAGATAGAATGGGATTTAACAGTTACTTTGATACAAGGCTTCAATTTTTGACTAYTGGTAATAATAWTGTAGCGTGTGATTGCTCAAAATCTAGCGCATTCTATACTTTTTACTTTTCTATACCATTGTTATGTAGATTTGCTATCATTTGAAACCCTCCAGAGCTGCACATATATTAATAATGACAATACCTGCTAAACTAGTGAAGACTTTTGGTTGGAAGAGCTCGTCTTGCTGTAAAATCTGGAGCCAAGTTTTGTCATGTCTTTCATTGTATGTACCACACTTTCTCCTGTTACTAAAATGCTGATTACTGTTGAAATCATTGTGATGACCATGTTGCACACCATCTAGATGGCACTCAAGTACAATACGCTCAGACTCATCCAAGGGCTTCACATTAWACAAGTTAACATAATGATGAACTGCTTGATTCCTGACGTGATGATTGACATGTCTATCTTGCTTGGTCATCATGTGAAAAGACCTGATGTTCTCTATAATCTCATTCTTTTGCATGTCAATATAGAAATGCTGACACTTGCAGAGTCGTTCAATGAAGTCTGCTGGCAAACACTTCAATGGAAACAATGCTTTATCAGGAATATTGCCACCATAGATGCCATGWAGTATTCCCTTGTATCCTTCTGGTAAATTACTTCTACAGTAATCCATGCAAATGACATAAACTTCTGAGTTACCAGCTTTACTTGTTGCTAAAACAGAAGGTTGCA